TAAAAAAAAGACTCCTCTCTCTCTCTCTCTCTCTATCTCTCCTCCTAAAAATTAAATAACGATCCGCACCATAAAGATAATTCGCCTCGCGCCAAGATCGTCCCGTGCCGTAATTGGCCGCGTGACGACATTTCTCCGGGCTAATTAAAGTCGACGGATCCGGACACGTGACGAGGCCTGGCACCTCGCGGCCTGATTAAAGGTTAATAAGCAACACGCGACCGAAATTATAACAAGCTCGTTTGCTCGATAGGTCGTCACACGTTGGATGAGCTCGCGTAATGCCCTTTCCCCGCGTTAACGCGTCACGTTCGAATCGAAGGAGGGGAGAAAGTGCGAGGAGAAGGAGAGACGGTTCTGATCGGGCGAGAAAGAGAGAGAGAGAGATGGGCGGAGGTGCACAAGTCCAGCACGTGGATGGATCGCGCGGGCTGTGCGGCGAAATACAACGTGCAGAGAGTAGGGGTTGCATGATTATCGACCCCTAGCTACCCCGGCTTTTGTAGCAGGGATGCAGCTGCCCCTTTCACCCCGCCCTAAAACGTTGGGTTTCTCGTCGGCGAACTTCAGCCTTCGAGCGGCTAGAGGAGTGGAGTGGTTCTCATGCGAGCTCTCTGTTCAACGACGCTGGTTAGAGAAAAGGGGGTGAAAAAGAGGGTAGGTGCGTTCAGGCAAATTCTTGTTGTTTATCCAGGGGCGAGGACGAAGATGATGACGGATTACGGATTACGGTCTGGAAAGTGATACAGGGATGTGAAAATTTGATTAAATAATTAGACTGGTTTCTTTGGAATTATTTAATTTTCGATAAAGAAAATGTAAATTGTGGATGAATGATAAAATAATTCGAGAATCATATTATTTTGAATTAAAGAAGATAGGAATATGGATGTAAAGAGATAATAATTGGAAGGTTTATTATTTACTGAGAGCATAATTTTCGAAAGCGACCGGGGAAACTGTTAATAATTACTTATTAGGAGATACATTTAATTATACCGTGTATATCCAGTATTAAAGGAATGGGATTAACAATTACACAACTCCTCGTTATCATTGGTCCACGAGGATTGCGTAATTTGTTTGGAAAACAACGTGAACTTTCAACGAGGCGAACGATTAAACAGGTTCCACTAGACTAGAAATCAAAGCGATCGTTTTATGTAATTGGCTTCTAGTTACGTGCTTCCCTTCCCGTGAAACGGGGAGATTGAGAAACACTGAGATAATAAAATCGCGCCGATTCGGGTGAAACCAAGGTAGCCGACCTTGGCAATTGCAGCGTTACATCGATATTTTATTTTTGGACCCGCCACACCGAATATCGTTCAAGACAATAGCGAGCACAAACGATCGTTTCTCGCGTTTTTCTCTTGCCGCTGTGCCATGCTCATCCACGATCCTCGTCGAGCATTGTTCTTTTTGGATCCGTTAACTTTTTACTTGCAATAAATGATAAAAAGATTAAAAGAAACGGATATAAACTTGGTTTCTGAGTCAATAAAGTTTTGAACAAAGAGGCCTGGTTATGTATTCATTTGTTTTCTTGACATTTTTACTACTTGGAAAAATCATAAAATGAAGATAACACCTTTCTTCCCTTAACTTATAACAGACAAGTAGAAAATAACGCTTTGGATCGGCAATACGTTATTGCTAGTATATTTTTAGAAATTTAATTATATATAGACTTTTTGTTATACATCACAAGCACTTCAACGTCGTTCTTCAAGGATTTTTAACCGTGCACAAGAAAACAACCCCTTACGATCCCTGGAGGACAAAAAGCGCATAACTGAATCGAATCAAGGACAGACATATCACGAAACGCTCCCCATTTTAACTCCCCTGACTTCAATTCTTTTTCTATATGTCTCATGAAATTCCGCATGCAAATAACATACGTTATTAATTATACATAGTCATGAAAATTTATCCATATTTCAACCTTTGAATTGCACGACACGTTGAGAAATTTTTCAGAAAAAATCGATCGATAAATGGCTGGCTCGCAATTTCTTAATAGCCGTACATTAGTAATTGTATATCGCCATAACAATTTGTCAATATTCCAGTCTTTGAATTGTCTGACGCATTGAAGAGAAATTTTTCAGAAAAAAATTGATCGACAAGTGGCTGGGTAAAGATTTATCGAATAGCTATACAAATAGCATACGTTAGTGATTGTACATCGCGATGAAAATTTGTCAATATTTCAATCTTTGAATAAGAGTGAAATTTTGTTCGTAAATTTTGTTTGTAGGGAAATTTTTCAGAAAAAATTGATAATTAAATGGTTGGCTCATTCATTGAAATAAAACGTAATTCCTTATGCAAATCGGTTACGATCGACTGTTCGAGATCATATCACCACGCCTGTGGAAAACGTCTGAAAATAGACGAGCGCGTGTGTAAACGTAGAACACCAAGGTCCGCCCGCTCGGATCTCGAGTTAGAATAACAATCGGTCTCGAATGAAACGCTGACTCATGGAACGCGTATCGAGTTATTAAGCGGCTAACCGATCGATAGACAGATGACACGCGACGAGCGGCGAAAGATTTTGCAAAACAAACCGGACAACCGGGCAGGTAGAACGCGTGATGAGTAAACGAGACGAAGCCGCAAAGGTCGCCGAGTCAGCGAGAAAACGTCTGGAAATCGGTAACGCGACCGCCACCGTTTGTAATCATATGTCTCGTCTGGATTCGCTACAGTGTGGTAAATATATATCGTGATATGCGTTTCACACGATACCCGACGTTGAAACGAACGACTGGTTCTTTGAATCGACACGGTGGTGTTGCGTTGCGCGACATCACGAATCAAAGCGTAGCTTGCGGTTATAGCTGTCGCCGCCTCGATAAATATCGAGTCGTTTTAAATTTGCTTAACGATTTTCTTAATCGATGCGAATTATGGCGCGTTGACGCCAATCTCGATTATTTTTCGATGATTTCGATGTTTTGAAAGATTATTCTTTAATCATTAAATATTTTTTATATTTAGGGAAGGAAATACGCGTAATTTGATAAAAGATGACTCGAATAATGACTCGATAGATGAGAAATATGAGAAAAGTTAAGGTTAAGGGATTCAATGGAGATTTAAATGGAAAAGACGAGAGTGATGAAATTCATCATGAATGCTTCCTGGTGGTGGACCCTCGCGAGAATCGATCGACCTTGATGCGAAAACCTTTAATACCGCGGAGTTCCACTCAACGTTTTTGCTGGTATATTCTTCATTCTTTATTAACGAAGAAAATACCTCGTGCTTTTGTACAAACTTATTGTTATTGTAACGACCTGTAATCTAAGATTTGCGAAAAGTGCCCGAGAAAATCTTGATCAACAGTTCTGTGTTGGGGTGTTAAATTATACGTTTGAAACAGGTAGCTTGCAATCATTCGTAGACTGTATAATATAATTTCGATAATATCGTAACGCGATATGAAAGATACGCGAATGCATTACAGTAAGTGACGTGTACATTCTCGCCACGTTTGACACTTAACCTTTTGGTTGCATGTGTATAGCTCGAAATAAATAAAAACAGCCACTTACCATAGTCCAGCGATTGTTGTTGCTGCGGTGCGTATTGCGACGTATTATTGGCCGGCGTGACTCTGAACCGCTCCATTTCCTTCTATTTCACCACCACGAAAAAAAAAACACCAAAAGAGGAATACACAACTTTCTTTTCACACTGTTAAGTTGATCAATCCGCGTAACGTTTTATTCTCTTTGAACACGAGCCGCGCGATAAGTTAGCCGGGGATGTTGGTTAACGACGAAACACCCGCACTTTCGTTTACGACGATTAGCGAACGCGTTCTCCATTCGCCGGTGCGATATTACTGGCTTCTGCCGGCCGTGCTGTGACTGTGTACCACTGACAACACACCACAAGGGAACAGACAGACGGGCAGGCAGGAAAGCGAGCAACAGAGACGACGAAAGAAACCGTGAACGAGGGGAGGGAGAACGTAGCAACTGCGAATGATCGTGGAAAGGAAAGAAAGAGAAGTGACGGAAAACGAGAGTGGCGTTCGTTCGCGTTTTCCTATCGGTCGTCTTTATCGCACCAAAGTGTATGTCTGTATGTTATACACACAGCCGCGCCTCTCGTCTCGTGCCTCGCACGTTTCGACCAGCCGTTCGGTGCCGAATCCCAGCCGAGCGCGTGCTGTACACGATAACGCCGTGTATGATCGCGCTTCAACTCGCGAACAGAGGGGTATGTGTGTAAGGATATAGTATATCGATGTTGGTATAGGCCCACGCGTACGTAAGAGCACGCCTCCCTTTCTTTCTCTTTCTCTCTTTCTCTAATTCCGCGTGAATAACGAACGCGCTGCGTTTGAAATACCGTCTGTGCTCACTACGCTGACACAAGGCCTACTCGTGGCTTCGGCCTGATCGGTGTTTTATATATATATATGTGTGTGTGTGTATACTCGCGCGTATGTGTACGCCAATACGCCAGGGGGCCCCTCGATACGATGCTTCTGCCGGCTCGAGCATGGGCGCCACGATGGGGGCACCCACGTGTGCGTGCATGCACACCGGCTTTCCCCAGGACCGTACCAATCGCGAAACTACCCTCAGTGGCCCGCCATTGGCTATCATCGAACCATGGTAGGAGGAACGCCACGTTACCAGGAGACTGAAAGGGTAAAGGAAATTGCCGCGTTAGTCTCATGTAATAGATAGAATTTTTTAGTGTTACAGTTCTCTTAGCTTTGTTGGTGGATTCGTGTAAAGTGTTATTTTGTTGAAGAATTGAAAAATACGTACTTAACATGGATGAAAGAAGAGAAGTTGAAGAAAAAATACTGTGAGAATAATGTGAATCGATACGTGTTGTAATAATTAGGTAATAATATAAATAATGTATAAATTTTCTATGAATGTATAAAAATGCAAGAAAATGCATGTGATTATATATCTTGATTGTTTTAAAAATTTATATGGGGAAGAAAATTTATAACGGTGAAGGAAAATCGAATTTTATTCTATTCTATTATTTTCTCGGCTATATTCTAAAATTTTCTTCGACTAAATTACTTTAAGTGGTTACTTTTATCGGTAAATTAATGAAATTAAATTTAATTATAAATAATTTCAGACTTAAATTTTTTTAATTGAAATTGCGATATTTCAAACTTTAAACAAAATATACGCGATGATGAATCACAAAGTTATTGCCTCGAACAATGCACGAGTATGGCCACGTGTATGCGTGAATCCACACCGGCTTTTTTCAGGACCGTATCTTTGTCCTGATATGCCTCCCCCGCTAATTCCGCGTTTCAATAAAAAGAATCTTGGAAAAAGAAGTGAGTTTCAATTTTTGCGGTCATTGTTCTTTCGCGAACAAAGCAATCTCGTTTTTAGTGTCTATACAATTCAAAAATGTATCTACAAATGCAAATGGCTATGCAACTATGATTTCGAACCTCAGAAAAATCGAAAGGGACGTTAACTTGTGAGTATCGATTATCGCGAATCTCTTTAAGTGCGCTTCGAAGTGTTTAAACGTATAATTGCCAATTGGATTGTTATTTGACCGATAATGGATCTATTATCGAGCGTTAATATCGATCGATTATAGTGAAAGAAACGATCGTGATACATAAATTTTGCGGGCAGCTTGATTATTCAGAAGTACGCTTCTACGCGTCACGTGAATATATTTGTATGTACATTATGCATGTACACATGTGTGTCCCGTATTTCAGGGTTACAGTGCTGTGTCGTGGCGATAACACATCTGTAACAGTATACGTACGAATTACTACATTTTCGTCCACGATGCGGTGAGTAATCGCAACTTCATCGGTTGCCTGTATCCTGTTCTAGGTGGCAGCAGGAACGGAAACCTTTCTTTCGGGAAAATTCCACTATGCGTTGCATTTCGAATCCTTCCATCAAAGGATCAATGATATATGTATAGATGAGTTTAATCTGCAAATTGAATTATGAGAGAAAAGATAACTATTATTTTCAATATCAAATAAATATTGTTTGATTCATTATCATAAATTATAACTCAATGTTTATCCTAATTACTTCTTATCAAATGGAATTTAATTCTTTTTCTCGTCATATTACACATTAACATGTTATTTCTATTTAGTAATACTTAAAGCATAAATAGCGTAGGCGTTATTTATGATAAACGCCCCTCAAATGAATAATGTTAAAGATTGTGTCAATTTTAAAGATTGTGCATATCACATATGATTGAAAATTTAAAAAATTCGTTCGATTACCAACGTGAAATAAATTTTGGATTGAAAAAAAAATATCCAAGAAGCAATTCTTTTTGGTTACAATGTCCCGTTGCTTCTTTGTAATGATCAATACAAAAGAAGGAAAGCACCGTTAAAGATGCTTCGGAATTATGCTTTTATTTAAGTGTTCATTCTGTAAGTTTTTTTCCATACGAATCTCTCTTTATTTAACAAGGATATAATTTATCAATTTAAACTTATCATTGCGTAAAGAGCTCATCACAACTAATCAGATAAATAGATTTAGTCATCTAGGTCCCGATATCATACACTCGTAAGACATTTTATTTGTAAGAAAAATCACATTAACATTTGAAATGCATGGAAATTGTCAACAAAATATGTCACTTTATTGCAAAAGCTAAAGCTATAACTATAATTTGTAAAGTCCTTGAGTTTTATATATTTTCACGTTCCATTGATAATGCAAATCCATTGTCACGTTCGTTGCTTGTTCGGCTGACAATATATGTATGTATGTATGTATAACTATGTATGTGTATTATTGCCGACACGTTTTTAAAAGTGTAGTATATTTGAGTGCCATAGATAGTTTATTGATTTTTTTAGAATGTCTTAACTATTAATTGAATGATAAAATATCTATCTATAAATATCTCTTTCAAGCACCCTTTGCTTGAAAAATAGTGAAATATGTTAAATATTGAATAGTATCGATTCTGTATTAAAAAGATATAAAGTAAAGATATTAAAGTGATTTGGAAATCGGTGAAACATCGACAATTTTCCAGTCTTTGTGTACTTAAGGTCGACAAGCCTCGGTTCGGTGTGTTCCGATCGAACCCGAGAGATTCGAAGGGAGGCACAAACAGGAATTGGCTGGTCGATGCACCTTAGCGTTCAAGGCATAGTGGAACGCAAGGGAAGTCGGCACATCTGCGCTGTACGTGAATTTTTTTCGAAACCACTGAGAAAACACATTACTCTTTTTCTCCCTCTGTTGTGCCCAACGTTGCGCCGAAACAGCTGATCGTTTGCCCCTTTAATTGCATCGCGACTGGGTCGACGCTGTGGTAAGTTATTGAAAATTTCAATAAAAATTCGTCATTATATTTGCTCGTTTAGTGGGACAATATAGTACGGTAAAATGTATCTATGAATACGGTCGAGAGTTTCATTCCTCGGTGTACGGTAAGTGCTACTACTTCAAGTATCTTTTGTAGGTTAGGAAGCGCCTTTCGTCTTTAAAGCTCCATACACAATGTTCCCTTGAATCATCTGCGTGCATGTACAGTGATAAGATACTATTCTATCTTATGAAAGACAATTTTAAATCTTTAAAATACATAACGTTGTTAATGTCCGTGTACTATTCAAGACGCCATTGTCCGACTTATGAAATTCAATTTACGATAAAACGTCTGAGTTTTCTCGTTACATTAGTTTACATTTACATTTATTTTCATTTGCAGAGAATTAACGAAATAAATTATGTTTTTAAATCCAATATTGTGTGCTTTATGTTTGTAATCATATACAATTGAAAATGCAATGGCGGGATTTGTAAGTAGAGTGATATTGTATATATATGCATATATATATATATATATATATATATATATATATATATAT